AAGAAATCACACCCCCCCCCCCGCCACCAGGGGGAATGGCCACCCTGCAATCCCTTCTCCATTCTCCTCTAGGGATCTTGGGCATGCATGCACATGTGCTTGGTGTGAGTTTAAGCCATTACGCCAACTGTTGGTCCTGATTTCCTAACACTTTTTCCTACATTGGAGTTTCCTCGGCTGCTTGTTGAAGCAGAAATTTGTGAGTCTAACTGAATAAGATTTTCTGGCAATTGGGACCCACCAATTTTCACTGTAAACAAGCATGCCCAAGTGATCTTTTTTTTTCTTTTTCTTTTCTCATTTTTAGAGAGATTTTTGCTATAGAGCATGTGTGCTCACCAGAGACACAGAGAGAAAGTGAGGAGAGAGAGAAAGTGAGAAATCACCCCCACAAGGGGATGATCACACCACAATCCCTTCTCTTCCATTTTCCTCTCAGGATTTTGGGCATGCAGGCACTTGTGCTCAGTGTAATTTTTTTTTTTTTTTTTGAAAGCTTTTTTTTTTTTGCTGTAGGGCACGTGCGCTCGCCAGACAGACAGAGAGAGACAGAAAGTGAGAAATCACCCCCCGGGGGGGATGGCCACGCCACAATCTCTTCTCCTCTGTTCTCCTCTCGGGATCTTGGGCATGCACACACACGCACCCGGTGTGAGTTTTAAGCCACCGGGTCTGGGACTCGAACTGCGGTTGACCACATGGGAGTCCAGCAACATAGCCAATATGCTAACTGCTGGTCTCACGCTCAGTGTAAATTTTAAGCTGCCAAGTCCAGGACTCAAACCATGGTCAACCGTATGGGAGTCCAGTGTCTTAACCACTATACCACCTGCTGGTCCTTCAAACCTAACCTTCTTTGAGAGCCTCTCCTACCCCCAACTAAATAGCCAGCAATCCTATCTCAGAGTCCTTCAGTGCTAAGTATTTACATCTATTATTATGTAATTGGTTGCTTTGTACTTTTATCTTCTTTGCAAGCCCTGGGGAGGACAGAGTGAACAGTGACAGTCTAGAGTCAAACTCCTCCAGTTAGAGTTTTGGTTTAGGCAGAAAACAGGTGTGTCATCTTAGAAGAGTTATTTTTTTTTTTCATTTAAAAATTACTTTATTGTATATTGATAAACTGTAATGATATATACTTATAGGAAACAAAGTAATATTATGATATATGTATGTAATGTGGAATGACT